GAGTAAGTAGTTGTATTATGTGGCGTGCCGCGGCGTGGGGTGGCAGGGGGGGGGGGGGCATCGATGGCAACCAATCAATCAAAGGAATTATAACAAACTAACTTATTATTATTATTATTATTATTATTATTCACTCTTAGTCTATGGTTTGACAATCCATCCCAATGAATATTCAGTCCAATTAACAGCCAGAGTTCATAAATAATATATTGGAATAATGAACATGATTTGATTACTCCTATATTATCAACCATAAACAATGTTGGCCATACTACAATGTTGATTGGGTGAGTGAGTGTGAGAGTGTGTATGATCAATCAGCATCAACTTCACCCAACCCCATTCATTTGTTTATTTATTCCATCAATCAATCAATTAATCATACTTCATTAGACCTTCATGATTAGCTTAATAACTCTATTACTAATATTCTTGGTCTTATTATTACTATCCTTTGTAAGTACTCTACCCATTCATACATTCAATCAATCAGTGTATCATTCACTTGATCAAACATATACTAAAATATAACCATTCAATAATCTATCAATCAAACAAATATTGGACAAGTAGATTAAAAAGAATAGGAAGAGAACATGGAATGACCCGGATGGACCTTGGGAATTCCCAGTGGTTGGTAGTCTGCCATACTTGACGGATAAGCCTCATATTGCTTTGACCACAATGTCCAAACGTTATGGCCGAGTGTTTAGATGTTATCTTGGTAGTTATTATTCTATAATACTTAGTGATCCAAAGATAATACGAGAGGTATGGCATAAACATTTTGAATGCTTCTCTGATCGACCGGAGTTGCCAGCATTCAAATATTTCAGTGGCAACTATCTCAATCTATCTGTATCAAGGTATCAAAGATGGAAGCCCAACAGACACCTTGTTGGATCCGCCTTCACAAGGACAAAGTTAAAGACATTATATAATGTGATTGATCAACAATGTAGTAATTTGATCAATTTGATGACCCAATATAGCGAGTCGGGTCAATCATTCAAACCATCCGATCACATCATGAAGTTTACTTTGAATACTACAATGATGGTAGTATGTAGTGAACAAATGTCTTATGTTGACTGTGACTCTACATCATCTGGAAGATTATCAAGTATAATTGGACCAATTCAAGATATATTTGATCACTGTATGGGTAGTCCAGGTGACTTTATCAAAATCATATCACCATTCTACTACCTCTACCTCAAGTATGGCCCCTCTAAGAACCTCTACCTTATCTACAACTTTATCAAACAAGTTTACCAAGAGCATCTTAAAGATCTTGATCATGATAAGTATGATTTGGAATTGATTGATTGGAACTATTCCGCCCCCCCCCCCCCCCCCACACAACTCACATAACACGTTCAAAACATTCAATCAATCATCCAAGCCCAAGGG